AGGGCGTTGGAGTGATGTTAACTGCTTGATTTTCCTCGTTGTCATCGGTTGAGCCCAGATTGCAGCTGCGTACAGCGCAATCTTTTCCACCACCGTGCTATAAAGCACTTTTTGAATGTGGGGATTTAGTCCCCAATTCCTTCCTTGAAATTTCCGTGTCATTCTGGCCATCGGAGGTTTTTGCTCTCTGTTGCTGCAAATGTGGCACCCATGTTAAGCCAGAGTCCCAGACCACTCCTAGATACTTCTGTGTATCCGTGAATTTAATGTTGCGGCCAAGTAATCGGATACAGGGACGACGTACAGGCCTCGTGCCCGGTCTCGGGATGAGGAGTGCAGAAGACTTGGTGATAGAAATCCTCAGCTTAAGGTCTTCGCATAGGCTTGCGAACTTGGCGCACGCTTCGCTGCCAACAAGTACAGACAAGGTTAACAGATCCTGGGTATTCCAGAAACACCGTTCAAATTAAAACTTAAGTTAAGGCGCTCAGATACGCATATGAACTTCAACGCGACAAGGGGAGTCGGTACCTTTTGAATGACTTTTTTTATTTAAGAACTTTCGCCTACTTTTTATTAATATTATTAAATGGTTTTTTTAAGAAAAAATTATTTTAAGCTGAAAAGAAAATTTGCCAGTAATTTTTTTAATTTAAATTTTTTGAAAACAAATTTAACAATTAAAATATCTCTCCTCTCCTACAATTTTCAATGCTTTTTCCTCCAGTTTTTTATTGTATTTGTTAGAGTGTTCTTAAAAACTTTAAGGATCGATTTTGCAATTAATGAATTAGTTTCTAAGAAAAAAATAAAAACGCATTTTTATGTAAAAACTTTGAAACAAAAATTATCTCAATATATATTCTCATCCTTGCTTTTGTAAAGACTCATCCTTGCTTTTGTAAAGAATGTAATTTCAAATAAGCAGTAAAAATATTAAATAATTTAGTCCATATCCGTATAAGTTTAGGACTTTATGTAAAAGGATTTCTTGACCATTTTTTGTCTATGAAGGTTGTAGAGTCATTAGAATTTTCAAGGTCAGGAAAGCGAAGAAATCCGCAATACCATCGTCAGGATTCGAACTTCAGACCTCTCGACTACGTGTCAAACGTGCTATCCAATTACACCACGAGGGTACGCAAAAGAGAGGCAGAAAACACTTTATGTACTCCCTCTTTTTAAATGGCGAGCTAGGGATAAGGGTACCCAGTTACCAAAACCTGGTGCTGAAGAAAGATGCCTACCACTTTTCACCGAAATCAGTCTATATGAGGTCAGGTCATAAATTTACAACCCCGTTTTTCAAAGGGGGAGCTGAAAAGGAGGTATAATCTTGCTCGGGATCATGAGAAAATATGGGGGGTCGTTTAAATGTCTAACTTCTCTACATTCAGTTTTATACAGAGGAAAATACAAATTAAATTCTTCGAATGAATGCAGTTTTGTACAATGAAAATGTTTTATTGAACGATAAACTGTAAGGTAAATAACATCTTTTTTTTAAAGCCATAGGAGTAGAAACACAGATATTTGTTACATCAATGAATTTATAGTAAATATTGATTTCTTCATTTCGAATGCTATGTTACATGTATGCGAAGTAGCTGAGTATCTGAAAAAATAGTCATAACCCAAATGGCTTTCAAGCTTTTCACGTCTAAGGACTTTTTTTCAATTACATTGTGATCGCTGCTTTTTGGTTAATTTTCTAATGACATATAAACAATAATCTTATTTATTTGAGACTTATGAATAAAATAACGCAAACTAGACAGCAGAAAATTCTTCAGAATGAAGTTAAATAATACTGAAAAATACATTATTCATGCACTTTTGCGTTTTAAATATAGTTGTTAATATGGAATCCTTAAATTATATATATCTATGTATAGGTATATATAAACGGAACAAAATATAGAACAAGGTATAACATAGCAAAGGAAAAATACCTTTATTATACGATGTTCTTTACCATACGTATATTTACATAATATTGTTGCATTTTTCTTTTCTTCCGACACCAGTTGTTACGTTGCTTTCTTCCTTCACGTTCGGAAGGGGTTCGTAGATTTGGAGTGAATAACGATGACACTTGATGAAGGATCGAAACACACTTTATTGGCCAGTATTGTCCGGACAGCCCCAAAACACGTTTTTACAGTCGTCGATGAACTACTATAAACGCGCTGACACGATCAGCGACACAGTCTCCAGGTTATCAGGCTGTCACGGTGGAGACAACTTCACGGCAAAGCACTAGAGTACAGCTCCCGACTCTGCTTGGGCGTTCTCGGAACCCTACCTACTCTCGAAACTCTCCACGCTACATCTCGCGATGCACTCGACGACTCTCAGAGCACAGCTCCCGACTCTTCGATTCAGTCGTTCCCGGAGCTCAAAACGCTCTCTCGACGATGCACTAACCGCGATACACTACGAGACTCTTTCGGTGCACTCGAACACCCATTGGGCACTCGCTGCCTGGCTGTCAACTCGATCGACTCCGCAGTGATTCACTCGCTAGACGAGACACGAACTCGATACTAACTCGGCGCTAGACTTCGAGACACTCGCTCAATGACTGACTATCAGCTCGCTAGACGAGGCATATGCTGACTCCCCCTCTCGACGAGGCACACCAACTCGCACTGCGGACAAGCAGGCTTTATATAGCTTTCGGCTTGAGTTCGAGAACATTCTGGGCTTAACCGGTAAGAATTCGTTCCAGAAGATTCTCCAACCGTCCATAGCATATCGCCAATTTTGTCGCCAAATGTGGCAATCCTGCCTTCCTCGCTATTTTATGGCAACTCTAAAACTGCTTTGCAGGGAAGCTATCTCACCGCACTTGGACATTTCGTAACAATATCACTATAATTGGTTAGTTAGGTTTCGTACATATATAATTTAGTATTATTATATTTTGTATTTTTTGTATTAGACGTATCTGAAGTTTAACTTTACTTGTTCTCCTTTTGGGTTACGACTTTAAGTGAGAAAGAATTGTTAGAGCCTTCATAGGGATTAAATTATATACAATCAATTAAGATCCGACTTTTCCTTTCTTTTAATAATTATACATATTTATATGCTATTTTATAGCAGTTTCTTTAATATTTATATATCTATTGTCTGATCTGGTTTGTTTGATTATAGCAAAGCATTCGACGGCTATTTGCCTAAGGGTAAGGATGCCTCATGGAGAAATTTCTAAGCAAAACTGACTCGTATGCACGTTACACATGGGAAAAACCACGAAAACGTCAATACAGCCATCCCGTTCACTGGGATTCGAACCCCAGATCGACCTACCAGGTTTCGACGAGTTTACCGCTCAGCCACTAGTGAGCCACACACACACACATCCACACATATACATTAAATCATATTTACATGTCGTTTATAAAGTAAGCGTATTAATCATAAAGAGTTAGAAAATATTCTACGGAACTTCTCTTCGTAGACTTTTTGTAAGCTTCACTATATTTCTTAAAGAGAATCTCAATGCTAGTTCTGTTTCCAAGGCGTTTATGTACCTTATTTTTTTATGCTTTGAATTATATTTAGAGAATTATTTCACCTGGTTATAGCTGAAAATGCAGTTTTTTTAATGAAGAATTTAAGTATATGAAGAGAATTAAGCCCTCTTCTAATTATTCTTGAAGCATTTAATTTTTTTTAATAAAAAAGGCCCATTAATACGGATCGCTCAACTAAGATGCTCGATAGAGGACAGATTAATTAGCTACTAAGTTTTGATTTTCATTAAGTAAAAATGAATTCATCTGCATTCTATAAGAATGCAAATTAAATATTCAGCTAATTCATATTCAAATATTCCAATCTATTATAATTAGTAATAAATCGATATTAAATAAATAATTAAAATTAATTAAATGGAATTTTAACTTCAAAACTTTTCATATCCTATATAATTTGTCTCCATTCTAGTACCATGTACATCCTTGTATACGTTACTGACCTACAGTGAAGAATAAAGAACTCTGTAGCTCCATTCAAGTTTTTATTCCTGATATAGTGATACTGAATGAGACCTAAAAATTCTTTTCTTTTAGAATATATCTCCCCTTATCCTCTAACGCACCTTCTTATTTTTCCATTCCCACTTAACGTCAAGGTCCCCCTCTTGACCGCATTCAGGAAGCCACCCTTTCACCAATCCTGGTGTTCACCACTTCTTAGTTCGGGCGCCAATTGCATAATCATTTAGAAATTTTCGAAAAATGAAATCAAAGAAATACCCCACGACATCGTCGGGATTTGAAATCCGGACACCCATCTTCCTCCCGTTTACGCGTTTTACATGCTATCCAGCTACATCACGAAGTCACGAGGAAATAAGGGTGAAGATGCAAGATGTTAGTGGAATTGAAACAAACGAATGAAGAATTGTATGGACTACGCGAATACCATACTTATATAGCATAAATTATTTGAATGTATGTACATTTAAAAGTGCAATGCATTAATTATTGTGAATAATATAAAAGCTGCAACCTTATAAAACATCGAAAATTATACTATTTTTGTGTTATTTGTTTCGTGTGTATGTGTGTAATAATACAAGAATGTATGTAATCATACAAGATAACATATCTAAAGTTGTGATAACGCGAATAACCTATATTGTAGGTCTTTATATTGTCATGTATCATAATAATGTTCATCGAACTAGGCTTGAATCATAGCAAACCAAGTAATTATTGTCTTCTGTTAGGTAGCTTAACAAAAGTTTTTGTGTTAACGTTGTACATATAAACACTTTGAATTAAAAAAAAATGGTATGCTACTTGTTTATTGTCAATTAAGTATAATTTAAATTCTGCTGACTGTGGTATGTAATCATCATAATCTTCAAATGTGGCTTATAACAAAGCAATACAGAAATATAATGCTCTGAGCAATGTAGTACTCTTCATTGCTTTGTTATAAGTCACATTTGAAGCAATATAGTACTCTTCATTTTTTCATTTTAGGAGGAGATATTGATACACAGAAAATGGAATACGTGGAACATGGTAACAGAAGTACATTCTACGTACGTATACTACGAGTTGCATATACTAAAGCTCCTTCACAAGAGCAAAGATTGATGAGGGAACCATTAACAATGAGACAACTCACGTGCAAGACTTTCGTTCCAGTACAATTGACATCCGGTTTCTTTGTTCCTAAATTTGAAACACTGAATGAAACAAAAACAAGAGTTTCAGCCTGGGTAAAAGCAACAGGTAAAGTAGTACTGAAATAAATCGTAAAGAGAACTTAGGTCTTTACGTCAGCGCTTTCGCTCGTGTAACAGCATCATAAAGTGTTTAATAGCAATGTAACTAAATGTACGAGATATTAAGTATTGCATTAAGCGTGCTGTTTGTTCATTTCGTTTGGGACATACAGATAACCATAAGAACGCTTCACAAAAATTCACTCAGTCGTAATTTTTAATAGGTATTTCAAAGGTGAAACGAAATAGGTAATCTGTCGTAATTCTCAATGGATATTTCCAAGCAGTATATTTATAATAAGATATATCATGATAAATGGATTAAGTTGCTGTTTTTGTAAAGTTCTTGATAAATTATTAAATAATTATTGAATTTTTAATCTGATAAACTCTTAATATTTTTTATTAATTTAGTTTATAAGAGTGTTCTTTTAAATTATTAAGTTAATATTTTTATATATATTTAAGTTATTTATATATATTTAATTAATATTTTTATTAATTTAATTTATAAGAGTGTTCTTTTAATTAAATTAATGAAAAATATTAAGAGTTTATCAGATTAAAAATTCAATAATTATTTAATAATTTATCAAGAACTTTACAAAAACAGCAACTTAATCCATTTATCATGATATATCTTATTATAAATATACTGCTTGGAATTATCCATTGAGGTGTTCTTTTAAATTAACCAGTTTATAATTTCAATCTTTACTAGAACTTCTCCTTTCCTTATTCCTCTCCAGAATGCAAATGAGTAGCCAGTATTTAAACTGAGGTTATGTTATTTTAAGACAGAGAATGTTTCTGATAGCGCGTGCACGCTATGCGTTAGTTTCGTGTCTGCTCTGATAATTGTAATTATTCGGTTTTGCGTTCAATCGCTGCCTGCATTTTGATTTTTACTCTCCTGTAGAGTAGTGAGCCCGTTTATAGTAATGTGTAATTCTGTAGTCTGTGCACTTCTGTAGTTCAACATTTGATATTAGTTTTACTGTTCTGTTTATTTAGTTGCATCACCACGAGTTGTGGCTGTTATTCTAGCACAAGAGAGTACGCTTGTGTTCTAAATTCTGTTTAAGTAAAAAGGTTGTTTTAGCCTTTTCGCGACTTTATTACAGACGTAGTGATAATTCGCTTGATGTCTGCTAGGGCTTTTGGACTACTTTGTAGCACCAGATCAAGTATAACCCTACAAGTTGATAAAATTATCGATTTAGTTAAGCTTGTTAAAGTTTATTAAATCATAAAACTGTTTAAGTTTTTGGTCCAGAATTTTTTTTTAATTTGAGAAGAATTCAGTGTTGTTGATACCTAAATTGCACCGATGGCGTAGCGAGCATAATTGGCGACTGGGGCACGATAAATTTTTGGCGCCCCTCCCCGAAAAACGCTTAGTAATATAATATATAGGATATACTCAATAAGAATATAATACAAATAATAATAGTATCTGCCTTGAAATAGTCTATAATATATTACGAATAGTCAGTACCTAACTACACTTCTACAAAATGCTATACACTTTGTCGGAATAAATGGTTACATTTTTTCGGGATAACAGTCTCAGGCTTTAAATTTGCATTTAAAAATTCAAGACTAAGATTGAATTCGGAAATATGTCTGTGTCAGTGGAAAAATCAGACATACGCTCATCTAGAATTCGTTAGAAAGGTATTATTTGTTTTACATATTTGTACAATTGTTTTAGAAAACATGGCAGCTTTTAAACTACGAAAAAGATTATATGTAAGTAGATATGTTTATTAGTAATAATATATATTATATTATACACTAATACAGTTAATTACTATATATACATTTTTCTTGCCTTTGATGAAGCAAATTTATAAGTTCCTTCATTATAGTCGATCATTTCAAATTTTCCTCTTTCCAGACAGAGAGAAATGCTAGGTTTCTTAGGCGATCTTGTCTCATCGTTGATCGTAGATATGGCAAAATTAATTTAAATTTAATTCAGAAGTCAAACAACAAAAATCAGCGTTAATTTACAAAATTTTCACAGGACTAGTTTCGATGGTTTTACCGAACCATCATCTTCAGCTGCAAAACCGCAAATGAACAAGATAGGAAATAATGTTTAGATAAGATAAGAAAGCCTGGACAAGAATAAGCAAGTGGCGCCATCTGTTGGCGAAACCAGAACTAAAACATAATTTCTCTAAAAGCCGAAGGCAAATTTGGATTGGATTAGGACTCGTTAACTAGAACAGATGATTTTTACCGAATGTGAAACGCACTCTAGAAAAGCGCAAATCTCCGAGATGGAAGATGTTGATTTGAGATAATTTAAGAAAGCCTGCAGAAAAAATTGAAAGTGTGATTTTCGGACCAACAATGCTGAGGGAACAGAAGACTTCTTGTGTTTTCGTTTTTTTCTAACATATGTCCTCATGTTCCTTGAAAACGCGAAATTTTAAGGCTCTCTTACTTTGACCAAAGTAAATTAACCGCACACTGGCAAGGAATGCCTGATAAATACCACAGGAATTCATATCCGGAATGGGGTCCTTGAGTATAGAAGTTGGAATTTTATTGATGGGAGAGTAAACAACCCGAAAGTTAAATTTCTGCAAAATTATCTAACATTATTTCCATTTATATCATAACATTATTTAATATCTAACATTATTTAATGTTAGATATTTATAAAATATCTAACATTATCTTATCTAAACATTATTTCCTATCTTGTTCATTTGCGGTTTTGCAGCTGAAGATGATGGTTCGGTAAATCCATCGAAACTAGTCCTGTGAAAATTTTGTAAATTAACGCTGATTTTTGTTGTTTGACTTCTGAATTAGTATTTATTCGGCGTGTTATTGTGTCTTAATTTAAATTTGCTAAATAAACGTTTGCAGCTAGCAGTTGATAATGAAATAGAAAGGAGTATTTGAAGTGCCAACCTCAGGTTTGAAAGAACATTTTCTGCATACGGCATTATAAAGGTAACTAACTAGTTTTGGTTCGCCCGCCTCGTTCAATGAAGAACACTACGAGTATTATAAAGGTAAGAAGCTATAATGGAGTTTTAGGATCAGCTTCTTTTCTACTACTGGGGTAACACTACAGTAAGATATTTCGACGTAGAGTTCTATTGCATTAAAATATGTATTATAAAATGCACTCAAATTTTTGCAGTTCTTTTCAAGGTCGTTATCCTTGTTTAATAAATTTTCAAAGTCCGGTAAACTTCCACAACTGGAATTAAGATCACATAGTGATGTATATCGTGTACTTATTTCTTGCTGCATACGATCAAGAGTGCTTTTCCGGGCATTTTTCGTCGTCTTGTAACACGGATGTTGTTGTAGCAATACCCAGTTTTTCACAAAGAGACATAGCCTTTTATATTGCGTCCTCACAGATCTCGTCTCGAATTTCTGCAAGTTCAGTTGCTAATGATTCAAGAACATATAAAGCCTCTCTAAAATTCACTTTAGTATCTTATAATCTGAGCTGCACATGATCAGTTCTTCTCAAGAATTCATGCCAGAATGGACTTATGAAATTAAAATTCAGTGTATTTTACAATAAAAGTGTGGCTTCACTTGTTCTCTGCTAATTTTTCCAATACTTCTACTAATTCTTCCAGCTCGTCGGCAGTAACACTAATCGCTTGTGATCTGGCACTTAATCTTGTTTCACATTCTTGTTTAACAGTTTTCTTTAAAGCATTTAATTCCCATCGTAATGTCAAGCGTGAGAAAAACAGATATGTTTTCAGTTATTCCAAAGCTTGTTACAACACTGGATCTTGCTTAGCTGCGGTAACGCTTACTAAGTTTAGTGAGCGATAATCACAGTTTACAAATAATGTGTAGAATCATTAGGCTATTTGAAGCTGGAGTACATGAAAAATAAGCAGTGCCCTCGCCGGGACTTCAGTGTGATTTTCGGACCAACAATGTTGAGCAACAGAAGACTTCTGTGTTTCCTTTTTTCTAACATATGCCTCATGTTCCTTGACGCGAAATTTTAAGGCTCTCTTAGTTTGGCCAATGTAAATTAAACCGCACTGGCAAGGAATCCTATAAATACCCCAGGAATTCATATCTGGAATGGGGGTCCTTGAGTATGGAACTCGGAATTTTATTGATGGGAGAATAAACAACCCAAAAGTTAAATTTCTCCAAAATATGTGCAACTTTATAGCTACATAATTGACGGAAAGAAAGGAATAACAACAGAATTTTTATAATCTCCTAAAACAAGAGTGTGCTTTTTAGTGTGTTGAGATGAGAATTTTTTAACTGCTTGATTAATGATGTTGGGTGAAAAGCCCCTGTCAATAGCTTGGTCTTGGTATAACAAAAGTCTTGGTCTAGAACGGAGAATGCAGTTAACCGTCATAAAAACACCCTTGCCGTTAAATTCGAAAAACTTCTTTTACAGTCTTCTAGTTCAAGTAGTTAAAAAAATCTTCCCATTGTAAACACCAAACCAATAGTTAATATTTCTAATGTTAGTCTTTCAGAAGAACAAGAGAGAATTCTAAAATATAATTTTAACTTCTCACAAACCTGTAAACCCTCGATTCAAGATTTTGGCTCCTATCGAAAAGCTTTCAAGTTCAGTGAAGTTTCAGATTCACAGAAAGAAATGATTAGGCATCTTATCGCTCATAATGTGAAATTCAATAATAAACCTTTGAAACCAAATCTAACTGCGAGAGAAAGAGCTACAATGCGCGAAATTCATTCTAACCCGGATATCATTTCAAAGGCCGACAAAGGTGGCCAGAAGTCGTCAAGGATAAGAACACTTACATCGATGGTGTCACTAAACTCTTAAACGAAGAATCCGATCCCTAAAGATCCTTCACCTTCGGTCTTGTCAAAAATAAAAAATGCGATCAAATCTTCGCAAATCATTTCAAACAACTTAAAACATTCGCTTATCCCATCTGTTGCGAATTGTGCCAGATTATATGCTCTTCCCAAAATTCATAAAAGTGGTATTCCTTTCCGCCCTATTGTATC